GACCAATTCTTATCTGGTTGGTAGAAAACTTCAAGTCAGAGTCGATGGCCATCTTATATCTAACTATGACGTGAAAACAGGGGTTCTGTTTAATATATTCATCAACGACATTGGTGTTAATTTCAGCTCGGAATACCTCCTTTATGCTGACGACGTTAAGCTTTACAGAAGAACCACAAACAGCTCAGACACCAAAGCCCTCCAACAAGATCTGGATCATCTCTCTACGTGGTGTATGAACAATAAGTTGGATCTAAATATAAAAAAGTGCGCTGTCATATCCTTCTCACGCTCACATACCAATACTCAGACAAATTATGAGCTAGCTGGAAATAAAGTCACCGAAGTTGAAAACATCAAAGATCTGGGAATTATTATGGATCAGCGTTGTTTTCTGTCCCTAGTTTATATATCCCTCGGAAACGATATGTAACGCTAGGTTGACTTAAGTATGGTTTCTAGTGGCTTATTAGATCAAAGTGTAGTCCTGCCAAATAGTAATAAAATTTTTCCACAGCCCACACCAAGGCCAAACTTTTTTTTCGGTTTGTGAATATCTCTTTTCCACCGGTGAGAGACTCTTATTGGCAATTGAAATGATCCGTGAAATATTTGCCTTATCAAATTGCACTAATACGGCAGACAGGGGCACCGGACTAGAATTTGCAATTAAGCACGCTTTGTGGGTTAAAGTATGAAAGTTTCGATACCGTGGCAACTTTCACCTTTATTCCTTGAAATGCCTCGTCCTTCTCTTTGCCCCAAAACATTTTTTCCTTGCTCCTCATTAGTTTCCTTAGAGGCTCGGTGCTGTCTGCCAAGTCAATTACAAACTTACCCACATATGCAGCTAAACCAACCAACTATGTACTTCTTCTTTATTTTTCGGCACTGTGAATGCTGTGATCACTTTAACTTTTTCGGGATCAACTTCAATCCCGTAATCCGACAGGATGTGTACCTTTTCAACCTTTGAGTTCTTATTATGCATATATTTTCATTCAGCAAGACATTATTTGTTTTAAAAATTATCTTGACCATTTCCAGTGCATTATCATCTTCTTCAAGGTTGCTTCCAAAAATGATTACGTCATCAATATAATTCAATGCATTTTGACAAGGAGATATTAATTCCTCCATTCTTCTTCTTGATTGGCTTAGTCACCGCTTACGCGATTATAGCCGAGTTAACAACCGCGCGCCAGTCGTTTCTTCTTTTCGCTACGTGGCTACGTGATATTCTAAGTGAAGACGGGTACTTCTCCACTTTGTCCTTCCAACGGAGTGGAGGTCTTCCTCTGCTTCCCCCGGCGGGTACTGCGTCGAATACTTTCAGAGCTGGTGTGTTTTCGTCCATCCGGACAACATGTCCTAGCTAGCGTAGCCGCTGTATTTTAATTCGCTGAACTATGTAAACGTCGTCGTATATCTCGTTCAGCTCATCGTTCCATCGGATGCGATATTCGCCGTGGCCTTCGCGCAAAGGACCATAAATCTTTCGCAGAACTTGTTGACATCGTCCAAGCCTCTGCACCATACAGCAGGACGGGAATTATGAGTGACTTATAGAGTTTGGTTTTTGTTTTTCGAGAGAGGACTTTGTTTCGCAATTGCTCCGAAGTAGCACCTGTTGGCAAGAGTTATCCTACGGTGGATTTCTAGGTTGACATTGTTGGTGGTGTTGGTGGTTCCAAGATAGACGAAATTATCTACAACTTCAAAGCTATGACTGTCAACAGTGACGTGAGTGCCTGAGATATTTCGGCTTGCCCTCGTTCACTGCCAGACCCATTTGGGTTGTTGAGGCCGATGATATCAATATCCTCCATTAGCCTCTGAAATATCTCTGGAGCTCCAAACATTAAGCGTTTATAACGAAACAAACCCCGATGCGTAATAAATGTAGTAATTTCTCTGCTGGACTCAGCCAACTCCAACTGATAGTAGGCATTTTTTAAATGAAGTCGATAGAAATATTGGCTTCCATTACTTGCTTTATTTGCCCCGTGCATATCTATACGTACCCGAATATCGCCATCATCTTGAAAGGCAATCACCACCGGCGATATCCAGGCACTTGGGCCAGTTACTTTTTCGATAATGCTCAACTTTAAGGCCTCTTCCAGTTTCTCAGTTATTTTGCCCTCCAACGCCGTCGGTAATAGACAGCTTGACAGAAACATCCCGCCATTTGGCAATGGTTCCGCTTCCTCAACTCTACGCACGTCCAAACCTACTCTTAAAACGTTGAGTTCGATAGCTGTATCCCGTCCTAACAGAGATTGTTTACCATTTTCGATTACGTAAAATGTAGTTTCGGATCATTTTGTACCGAAATTGGAGCCTCTAAAACTTTTAATACCTTGCGTAAACGATCTGAAGCATATGCCCGAAAATGATTCGCTGATTCAGGACGTGAGTTAAACATAGCAGTCTTTTCCTCGCATAATCGTTGCCCATCTTAATGACTGATCAGGTACAATTTAGAGCCCGAATCGATGATCATAGTAATTATGTAAATTCCTAATTTAACACGGGATCTCCCCCTCTTGTGACGACTCATTTTCCTCTCTGAATAACCCAGTTCCCTTCGAACCGTCGAGTACATTTCCAATTTCGCTACTTATGGACTGGGCCGCCGTATCTCTTCGAAGTTGATCTTCCGTAACCTTGGGCGGCATTTTCAATCAAAATGTCCAATTCTATCGCATTTCATATTTCTGGCAGGAAACTCAATACTTTTTGCGCGATGTCCACTTTTACCATATCTTCCACACTCGCTTTCTATACTTTCCAGTACAATTTGGTTGATGCCGCTTGGATTACCTTGTACTGTGTTTGTTTGTTGACTTGTTCATCTTTTGTTTATACTGCTTGTTTTGATTACCTCATCCAAAGTTAGTTCGTTTCCAAGTAACCTTTTTTTTTAAACCTAACGGTGCCCAGACATCGATGATTTTATCTTTTAAACTTATTTCTTCAATTTGTTCTTTGGATATAGGTTATCTCGTCTGCGTCAATATATAATATATATAAAACGAATGCAACCACGCTTCCCACTCCCTACGTCATAACGCCTTGTCTATTCCCTGATATAGAAATGGTTTCAGTTTCATCATGATTATTTCTCGCTGAAACGATTATCATAAAACAACATTTTATTTTATAAAAAAAGGCATATAAATTAATTTCGATCACATTTTTAAAACTGTGGAACTTCAACCAAAATACCTGCGTGTGCGCTTAGCGTCGCTATTCCAGTTTAAATTCAAAATCCTATACGACCTTTCTCATTTAAATACTTCCCAATTATCCTCGTCGCCAATGTAATATTTTGCGATATCACGATTTATTATAATTCATATATATAACTAACAATTATAATATTATATTAATAACTCGGACTTTCCGTCCAGCACAGTCGGTGTCAAATATAAATCGCATGTCAAATGTCATATTTACAAACACGTTACACAAAATCCTTCCTTGTTGCTAAATTATGAAAACATATTGTTACTCTCTTTAAGAGGTACGGATCTCCACTCTTACCATTGTTTGACAATTTAATTCAAATAAAGCTTGTAAACGATGTGAACACCGACGACTCGCTAAAAAACGTCCGAGATGAAATGACGGTATAAATGACATAAAAACATAACAATATGACAGCACAATGCTTATCTTAAATAATTTTAATTTAACACAAAACTCCCCATTAACATTTATTGAATTCATGTGTTACAAAAAATTTGATAAAAAAAAGAACCGCTCTACCGAATTTGTGTAAACTCATAAACCATCTACTAAATAGTCCGGACATTGGCTTAAGATTCGGTTTAAATAGATAGAGCCCGTACTGAAGTTATAAAATCACAACGAAAAGTGGCATTACTTTTTATATGTATAGATTAAACAAGTAACTGGCATACATAAATAAATACGTTGAGCACAGCATTATCTTATCCCTAAAGGTGCAACTTTACGTCAAATTCTATTTGAGTCCTAAAATTAGTACGAAACAAAAAGAAATGCAAGACAAATTACATTTGGCAATATTTATTTTAAACAGGAAATGTTTCATCTCTCACGAGGACCGAAGCCAATAATTCCACAGCCATTATTTGAAAAAAAGGAATAAATTTAAGGCACCAGATACTAAATATATTATGTAGACCCCGGTGTTTATTGACGACCTTTTGCAGGATATATAGTTTTGAAATTCAGGGAGAAATATGTACCTTATTCCTGGTAAAGAAATGTTATAGTACCAAAACTGGATAGAATCGAGTTAATATATATTCTAGAGCACTTATACTTGTAAGAAGTGTGTGAATTATTTATAAAATTGCTTGAAAATATGATCTCATTTATACCTGACCAATGTTCATAGAGAATACAACCATCCAAGACCTTTAACTGCCCCTATATACTCTTCATAGTGATTCCCGAATTTCTAGCTGACGTTGGACCTACCTAAAGAAAAAAGTGGCAAAAAGGAGTCAAAAACTTCAACAGCATTGAAATCTGTCATACTAAAAGAGTGATACAAGATCCCATTTAAATGTGACCTACACAAGTTGACGCTTTCCATTAAAAACCGCCTACAATTGTAAGGGGGGTCACAGCTAATATAAAAATGAGCTTTAGGCTGATATAATAAGTCATCCATTTAGAATAAGTTTGGTATTATGTGTAAAGAACTTCTTGACAGTGTCGAAAGCGTGTAAATATTTGCTTATTAACAGATTTTTTTTCACATTTCTTGATGGTATTATCTAAAAACATATTTTGAATTGTTTTCCATTAAAAATGTTCTTTAAATTAAACTTACTTTATAGACTTGCTCATTAAAAGTCAAAATTTAACATATTGTTTCCGAGTGTAAAGTTTTTCTGGACAAATTGTAGGTGTGAGACATGGCATTAACAATAAACATATAGATAATAGTATGTTATCTATAGTAAACTGCATGACCTTTATTTATGTTTTTTTTTTTGTAGAATTCAACCAGGACATCACCAAATTGCACTTATTTAAAAAGGAATTTATAAATTTAATTAAAGGAATATGTCCTCAATATCGCAAAACTTAATACCTGTGGAAAAAAAGGAGCAGATTTCTTTATCCCAAAAGTTAACAATTCATGAACAGCAGCATCAACTGTATGCTTTGAAATGGAGTGAATTCCAATCATCTATAGTTAACTGTTTTCAACGGCTGCGAGATGAAGAAGACTTTGTGGATGTAACTATATCTTGTGACCAGCGATCATTTGCTGCTCATAGAGTTGTGCTCAGTGCCTGCAGTCCTTACTTTCGTAAATTGTTGAAATCAAATCCCTGCAAACACCCCATAATAATTTTACGAGATGTGTACTCAGAACACATGGAATGTCTTCTAAGGTATTTAAATTTAAATCAATCAATAACTATTAATTACAGAGAATCATTTCTAATAATTAATGCCAAAACGAAACACAACATAGGTTTTTTTATTTGTATGAAATTCTTATATCAATTATTATATAAATTTATTCTCCAAAAGAAATAAAATATAAATAAATTCATTCTTTCAAAAGTTAGCACTAAAAAAAATCAATAATAATAAAACATTAAATAGAAATAGATTTGTATAATTATTATACTTATAAACAGATTCACTAACACTAATCATAAGAGTACAGATCCAAAATCTCAATAAAACAACACCATAATAAATTACATCAAACCCTAAAAGTCAAGAAATATTTCGGYTATAACCCTGTACGTTTCCATGCCAGTAAAGAAGAAGAAAAATATCAATACAAACATAATTTAAAATTTATAGAAGTACTAGCTGACCCCGCAGGCGTTTTCTTGCGAGAAATTATGTGTTTTGATATGAAAAAAAAAGTAGAATGTACTATATTTTGTATTTAAATCATTTGTTTGCGATTTTTCAAAATTTTTTTCGATGTGCAGCTTGGTTAACAACATTTTATGTTTTCTGTTCCGCTTCGTAAATGTCTAGAAAAGATGGGTTTCGGATTTATGAACACGCCACGTATAGCGGCTCTGTGAAAAACATGACTTTTCCAGATTTTTGCCACACACTTCTATCGACCATCTTTGTATCCTGTTGATTGTCATCTCAAATGCAATTTGCACTGAAAAMGGAATACGTTTAAACTGAAATAGCGAATCTTTGGAACTAAAAAGAATTCGTAGCACCAAGCATTCGGCGCCCTTGTATTCGATAGCTGCATCACAGTCAGTCTGGTTCTATTACATAGTTTCGGCGCATGAAGATTGCGGAACATAATAATGACTGATCCAACTTTGAGAAGCAAAAGATGCGGCGGCATACCAAGCTTCTCCAAAGAAATTAGAAATTTTACTGGATAATTCACGGCTTCGTCTTCAATGTCAAGATGATCAGAATTTGCCCATTTACAGTTCTTAGCGAATACAATGTAAAATGTCTTCGGCAATAATAATTCGGTGTTTCCGTTGGCTGTACGGAATTCTCTGGGTTGAAATACACACTTTGGCCTTCTCCAAATGATCTGCGAGATGCACAACAGTCGGAAAAGGTTCATTAATTGCAAAAGTAAACATCTAGAGCGCTTCATTGCAGTTCATTTATCGACCCATTGGATGGCCAATAAACGCCATGTTGCTTTCTTTGGTAACGTATTTGCAAACGTATTTGATCGATTTCACCAAACAGTAATACTCAATATTGATTGATATGTAGTGGGATTGTGGTGACCGCTAGGTCAATGAACCATATTGGTTTTCTTCACTTCGTATAACACTAGGTCTTTCTCTACATCTGAAATTTCCGCAACCACCATCCAAAAAAGAATGTGTGCATGTGGCAAACATCTCTTTTGCCACTCAACAGAGTACATTTAGCATCTAACAGCACCACATATACGTTGTTTCAAGATAAAGTCCATCAAACATCGTAGTTGTTGTTTGAAAAGTCGTGCTGCAACATCGTGATAATCGCTTGCTGATTGACAGCRATCAATAATTCCACACTTATGTCATCGCATCCTGGGACTACTCGACCGATATTAGCGCGGTCACTTCGTGACTTCATTGCAAATTAATTAATCATTTTGTGTGAAACGCAAATAAAGTTTTCACTGAATAATTTTCAATAATTTACCTTATGAATAGCCGGAATAGAAAAGCAACCGACCAACATTGAACGATTCGAATAATTTACACATTAAAAATATTAAAAAACAAAGTAAACAAATAAACAAAAAATGGAAAAAAACATAACAAACGGCAATTGCTGTTCTCAAAAAATATTTAAAAATAACGAACACTAAAGGTTTATGGTTTATTATTATAAACAGAGATTAATCTCTCATTGCACATACATACTTAAAGTTGTTCGTAGGAAAGATTGATGTACCCAAATCTAAGCCACAAACAAACAATGTTTGGCCTTATGAGTTATTCGTCTCCATTGCGAATGTCAATTTAATTGGAAATTGAGTGCGTTTAAATGCAATTGGCGCATCTGTAAAAATCATGGCGACAAAACATTTTCGCCTTAGAGCTTGCCATTCAATAGTGACTACGTTAATGTTTTGCTTTATTTTTGTAGGACTAATCTAGTAACGAAGGGCATAATGCAGTTCTTAGAATGTACATAACGCTTTTTTGTTGAAATTAGTTAAATTGAATTGTTACTGTAGCCAAACTTCATTGAATCACTGTATTTGGCATTGGTAGGTTAGGATACGCTTACTTCCCTCATATCACAGTATATTAAAGAAGCATCGGAATAAAATTTTGTATGTGTTTCGAGATCGGCATATTACGTTTTAAAATTGTCGAAATTTTACTAGAAGTTCGACTCCCTATATGTTAACCTCTGTGCCTATGTCAGATATAATACTTAAACTTTAGGTGAATTCCGGAATATATAGTTGAAATTCATGGAAATACTTTTCCTGAAAATAGTTAAACCTTTTTGTCAAAAATTCATTTATTATTAAATACTTTAAAAGATAACAAAGTGGAATTAAAAAYAGTACTTGATTGTAACGCGAAAAAAGCATGCGAAAAGTTAGGGATATTGTAAAAAAGGCAAACTGTGTGTTGTTTATTTTCTGCAATCTAAAAATATTACAATTTGTTTTTGCTAATATATTTGTACATAATTTAATTAGCAGTATAAAAACTGCTGATGCTGTAAACACAAAAGAGGCGACAGACTTCAAGCGACATCTGTCAAACAATAGCAAAAATCAGCCATTTTTTGGCAGTGTTGCCTTCCCAAATTTAGTAAATTGAGCTAAATGCACGAAATGCGATTAAACTTAATTTCCGTCATTGCGTACTGTGAATGGTACGGTGTGTGCAACTTTTTGATAAGCAAGCCAGTAATTACAATTGCTGTAACATGATAATCACTGGAATCAACAGATGGATGATGCGATAGTTACTTCGAATGCCCCTGAAGTTCGCACACTTTTCGCGATGATCATTTCGACATGTCAGCCTTCAATTACAATTGCTGTAACATGATAATCACTGGAATCAACAGATGGATGATGCGATAGTTACTTCGAATGCCACTGAAGTTCGCACACTTTTCGCGATGATCATTTCGACATGTCAGCCTTCAAATCCGATTCAATTATGGGATACGAACAAAAATGACATTGCCGAAGACATTTTACATCGTGTTCGATAAGAATTTGAAGTGGGTTAATTCCGGTTTATACTTCCGATGGTTTGATATCAACTCCATCTGCCATTTATCAATTCACTTCAAAGGAAGATGAACTCACCACGAATGTTCGGACATTGGCCAAATTACCGTAACTATGATTAGTTAAGTGCACGTGCAATATAAGCTGCCAAAAACACCGATGTTGTTGACTAAACTGGAAGATTCAAAGTCAAATTCCGGGAGACTTGCGCTCATACAAATCGATCGATAGTCTTGACACTGAAGACGAAGCCGTGAATTATCCCGTGGAATTTCTAAGCAGGCTTTGGAGAGGCTTGGTATGTCACCGCATTATTTGCGTCTAAAAGTTGGATCTGTCGTTATTATTTTTCGCAATCTTCATGCGCCGAAACTATGTAATGGAACCCGACTGATTGTGCGATAGCTATCGAATAAAAGGGGGTAGAATGCTTGATTATACAAATTCCGTTGTGTTCTAACGATTGCTATTTCAGTTCAAACGTATTCCGTTTTCAGTGAAAATTGCATTTGAGATGACAATCAACGSGACACAAGGTTAGTCGCATTGTGTGTGGCATAAATTTCGAAATGCTATGTTTTTCACACGGCCAGAATTGGAAAACCATCTTTTCTGTACACCGGAATAGAAACCAAAACATGTTGTTWTTCGCGCTGCGTTACATTGAAAAAAAAAAACAAAACAAATAAAATAAGTAAAATGATAAATTCAACTTTCTTTCATTTCAAAACACATAATTTCACACAGGACAACCGCTGCAGGGCCATCTAGTTATTAATAGAAATTTTGGTATTTTTGAAAACCAAAATAAATTAAAAAAAAAAAATGCGTTTATTAAATGTATAGCAAATTGTGCGATGTTTATTTTCTGCCATCTAAAAATATTAAAATTTGTTTTTGTTAATGCAAAATTATTGAGTTAGCAATATAAAAAGTGTTTAGAACTGACGCTGTAAACTCAAAAAGGGTCGAGGATAAATTAAGGTAAATGCACGAAAGTTTTGTGCATTACTAACTTGCATTAACATGGGTCAAATGCGCAAGTTAATTTAAATTAAGCCCGCTAATGCAACTTAACACTATCGTCTGTCGGGGCTATTAAAGCAAACTAAGCCTGTTAAGTAACAATTGTTTAAGTTCACGTATAAAATAGTACTCAGCTCTGATTGCCCAGAGCTCTTTTATATATAGATTCTCGTCGTACTAGCTGTTCTTCTGCATTTTCCGAAAACCAATGGTTTCGGTTGCAGCTGTATGTAAGGAGCTTGAAATGCTGTCCAAAAGTTCTCTTATACTGCGTTGTTGATGAGTACTCTCAGAGAGCAGGAGAGCAAGGCGAGAAATCGTTCAATTGTCAGTTATGATTGCAGCTTCTCGACGTCGAGCCATCCTTGCGTTTGTTGGTGTGCGTTTTTTGCTGCACAGATGCGGGTGGGAATCTTGGCTACAACAAGATAAAGATCCACGTCGATCTTTGTTCCTCGAAGCTTACGCACGTTTAGAACACTGGAGACGTGTCTTCCGTCTATCACAACATGATCGATCTGTTTTCTTATGTTGGAATCTAGTACTACAGATAACCATATTTCGGGCCCGACGAAGTCGATCAGCCACGATCCGCTTAGGGATGTTTCATCGTGGAGGTTGAATTTACCGACCGTAGTGACAAAGATAAAGTAAAGT